ACGCTGCCAACATGGCGTGCTTCCGGTTCCAGTGCATGCCAGCTAAGCAGCCAGTCAGCCAATATGCTACGAATACCTCTACCCCCCGCCCCACCACAAGCTACCCCTACCACACCGCGTGGCATCGAAACTGTGGACTCTTGCGATGCGCGCTTCATTACCCGCCCACATGTCAACCAGCTCTCAATTTGCTGACGTTGATGATGATGATGATGATGATGATGATGATGATAGTGATGGTGATGATGATGATATGACCTGCGCCCGCCCTTGGGCAACGCCCCCTCACCTGGATTACTGCCCCACAGCGCCCATTATCAACGCCAGGTGCGTGCTCGCCGCTCGTGTCGAGGCCCAGCACAGATTCTGCCAGCCGACTTTAATCATGGCGTTTAAATTGAACAATTAAACTAATTTCGCTCTGGCGCTGGCGCTGACGCTGACGCTGACGCATGGAACACCAAATTTTTGTTTCAATTTATGAATTCCAAATATTTCCCAAATATTTCTAATGCCGTTTCAAAACACTTTGAGAAAGACTGATTAAAGACTGACTAAATTTCTGTTAATTGGAATAGTTTGATTATAACTGGAATGTTCTAGCCAGGGAGAGACTATCTGCGTTATCATAATTGTCCCATATGGGAGTAGAGCTCGCAAAAGCTTTCTAATATATTTCTATATAAGTAGATATATATCAATTTGAGTAAATTAACGAAAAAGATTTACTGTTGCCCCTAATCGACATATTTTCAATTTGCGGATCCTAAGTTTTGAGTTTTTAAAGTTAGAGCTTTACTCGATTAGCTAATATGGAAAATATAGATACAGAGTACACTGATTGCATATATATAAAACGTATATCTACTTGATCCATATTAATGATATGTCTTTATTGTAAAAAATGTAAGTTAACTTTTTTCTTCTTGTTCTTTTATAATCAGCCCATTTTTGACATGATTACTATATATGTATTGACTATAGAACTATTTGTCAGCTATATTATGAAAAAAAAAATCACAATAGACATCTCAGATATCACCTATAGATGTATCTCTCCTCTGTAGAGACATCTCAGATATCACCCATAGAGGCATATCTTCTGTACAGACTCTTTCTCCTCTATATAGATATCTCTCTTCTGATCAAGTCCCATTAGAAATCGATATTACGTGATCTTGACCGAGCTAGACATCAGAGATCCCCAACTGAGCCCCACACATGACTCGACTATAGAGCAAACAGTTTTTCTGCTTGAAAACAGAGTACGCCGCATTGCAAATAAATTATATTTTTCCCCCATATTTTTTCTGTTTTTTTTTTTTTTTTTTTTTTTAACTCACCTCAAATGAAAACTGCAGTCGAACTTCCGGCACGATAAAGATAAAGAAAACAAACAACAAATAAACCGAAAAGAAACAAAAAACTTGTTGAAAACTAAATAGTTATTTTTTGCTGTCTTGGCCTTTTTTTTTTTTTTTTTGGAAAAATTTCACACGATTTTCAAAATGCAAATTGCGTTTATGTCTTTTGAGGCCAGCGACAATAGCGCACCAAAGACGAGACAAACAAAATACCAAAATATGTTAAGTTAAGTTAAAAAAAAAAAGAGAAAAAAAAGGAAAATAAAGAAAATTAACACTTTATGCGGGTGTCGAGGCGAACGGTGTTGATAGTTGAAACCGAGCAACGATCGCACGTAACCGAAATGAATGCGCAACGAGCAGGTGGGTCGCCTTTTATAGGTGCCTGACCGGGCCTACTCGCCCCTCTGCAGCTCCAACCCCCATCATACAGCAGAGATACGGAGCAACCCCCAACCCAATCCGTTGCCCTACCCCATCCTATCCCTCCCTCTGCCCAAAACACCCTCGTACAGTTGCCATCGAATCCTGGCCAGTTCATGGCGGATAAGATAACGGGACCAACTATATACTATTTGTAGCCACATGGCCAAACGGTTAATGGGGTCGCATTGCAGAGAGCCAAAACCAGGCGATGCGTTATCTATCTCACCCAACCAGCCCGGCGCATTTATGCAAAACAATATGGCGTCTGCCATCGATCCAATCGATAGATAAACGGCAAATCAGACTCTGATAACACATCTAGCGACAGCAAAGATGACGACGAGGGACCCGGACTAACCCCCGCCATCTGGAACGTTTTCGCTTCTTCTTCCCTTTCCAATTAATTTATAATAAGCTAAACGGCATCTGGATATGATTCCCAATATTTGATACATATATCATATGATATCTATCTATATCTAAAAGGTGTATTTTTACAATATACTTAAACGTATATCTTAAGCATTGGATATACGATATGCATATATCATTCAATTTTATAGAAATTTCGTAATACTTTGCCCTAAATATGTTTTGGAAAAGAATAAAAATAATAACGTCGCATAATTCGCATTTCGTCTATCCTAAAAAAAATTCGTCTATCTTAAAAAAATTAGAAATTGTATTTCATACTTATTCTCAAATTTGATGGAATATATAGATTTTACGTAATTTCTGTCTTGGTAGCCGACTATAGATGCTATAGAAGCTAGAAACTTGAAATTTGGAAGACATCTTTGGCATACTCATCTTAAGACAACTAGGGCTAATACTATATGTGGTATAGCAGAAGCAATATTATTGAAATTGCTAAGGACTGAAGATTACAAATATTTACTTGCTTAGACAAACCAGGCTCAAAAATATATAGAAGATATATCTACTCCCACTGGCGTGTGGCAAAGGCTGAGAAAGTATCCACAGTTTTAAAGTTTTTAGACAATTTGTTTGTGCATCTCAGCTGCATTATAATAATATATATCTACCTCTTGAAGGCATGGCAAATAGTAAATCTACCAAAGTTTTGAAGCTCTAGACCGAGAATAGAATAGTTAAGCTAGAGCAGGTTCCTTCGTGGGGCGTGCCATAGGTGATTCAGATAATATTATATGGTCGTAGAGATCGGCTATAGCATTTTCAATAAGTTTTATAATTTAATTTTTACTGACTTTAACCAGACTTTCCCTTTGTCAAGTAAAAAAAAATTTTGTAATATTTATAAAATTACTCTAGCTTCACTGGAGCATAATCAAATATATTAT